CAAACAAATTGGCGGATAGATAGATGAAGGGAGAAATAAAAGCAAAGAAAGAAACTAAGAGAAAGACATAAGAAGAGAACATGAGGAAAATAAGTACAGAGAGGAAAACCAAATGAGGATCTGGCTAAGGCGACATGTAGCCTGCACTGATACGGACCTCACATACACAGCACACCATATGCACCGCACATAACACACCCTATACACAGCACCACACAACGTACACAACACACAGCACACCATATGCACCTCACACAACACACAGCACACCATATGCACCTCACACAACACACAGCACACCATATGCACCTCACACAACACACCCTATACACAGCATCACACAACGTACACAACACACAGCACACCATATGCACCTCACACAACACACAGCACACCATATGCACCTCACATAACAACACAACGTACACAACACACAGCGCACCATATGCACCACACATAACACACCCTATACACAGCACCACACAACGTACACAACACAGCACACCATATGCACCTCACATAACACAACACAACGTACACAACACACAGCACACCAAACACATCATACAGTACACAACGCTGCGCACATAACACACAACACAGACAACACCACACAGCGCACAAGCGCTGGGCGATGTTGTGCAGTGTCTGCTCGTGCGAGCATGTATAAACTTGTTCCTATGCTTCATTAAGCACAACGCCATGACTATCTGTGAGGGAGTGGAGGTATGGCACCATGCATTCTCAGCCTCGGCACTAGATGGAAGTGAGTGGTCAGTTTCACGTCACGGTCCCTTCACCCCCAGGGAGATAACCCCTGTTGGATAGACGCCTTCAGGGAAACCCAATATAAACGGATTAGTATGTATAATCCCTCTATCAGCAGGTTCCTACGCCCTTGCTTGATGTGACACCTTGTACTGTTGGTACCGGACTGACCAAACTATACAGAATCACACCGGCGCCATGAGAACCTCAGATCTCAGTTAAGTGTTGCAGGATTTCTGTCCATCTGTACACTTCCCTTGCCCTTTGTGATGCGACGCCGGCTAGAGAGATATTTACCTACAGTATGGACGAACATGCCGCTTTCATCTTCTACCATGAAGAAGGAAGCTGCACACTACCCGCAAACGTTAGTATCTATGCACATCTTCATCCCAGAAGGCGGCTCTGAGAACCTCAAGTCTCCCTAGCATCTCTCTTACCACATGAAGTGTAGTTCAGAGGACTCAGAGATTCTGAGATAAGTGGAAGGGGTTGTAGGGTGCCAACGGCTCTTGCGCCATGACAGTGTCTTATTGTGCCGACCCGCCTCAACCCTCTCCAGTATCGGAAAGCCTTATGACCCACCCACTTAGAATGCCGGGGGGGGAGGAACGCCAAGAATGATGCGGCAGAAATGATACAAGAGAAAGAATATCTCTTATTATTATTATAACTAAATTTTCTAAATTAGTTACAGTTACAAGAAGAGCTAGCCGCCATGACAGTTGGAGCGTGTCAGCAAATGATTAAGGGTGTTTCCGGTAGATGTCACTCTCTTTGCTGTATAACAAATCGTCTTTTTTTCTCCACTCATCTCTGCTATGCCATTCTGTTTAAGAATGGGACGTGAAAGGGGCTAAAATAATAATAAAAAAAACGAAGGAAGAAGAAGTGTTTACATTAAGGGAGATACAGCAAGTGTCGACTCGAGTGGTCTCGGGTTCGGAAGATTATTGTATTTTATTTTATTTTGTGTTATTTAGACAGGGTGTGCAAAGGATTGCGGTCTCTTGGCACTGACTGCAGTAGAAGCAAAAAAACTGTATTTTCTTCCTTGCTTTATTTTCACGAAACCATCCCATTATTTTCTCTTAGTGGGTTTTCTCACGGGTTGCAAGTTCAACAGGCGAACCCATCCTGTAAGGCCCTGGTTCCCACACATGTTTATCCAAGACACATTTGCCTTCCAACACAAATTATACCGTCACTTACTCAGCATCCCAGACAATTTATGTAGATTTATAACGTAATATTGAAGTATTATTTTTATTGCTAGTGGGGTGGGACTAATCCCTAGTACTGCGGCCACTTCTGGCCTTTTGTACCAGCCCCAGATGATAGGTGAGGGTGATTGTGGAGCAGTAGGTGGAATGAAGATTGGCAGGGGAAACCGAAGCACTCGGAGAAAACCTGCCCCTGGGCTACTTTGTCCACCACAAATCCCACTTGACCAGACCCCGGGATCGAACCCGGGCCACCGCGGTGGGAAGCCAGCGACTAACCGCTTGAGCTATGGCGTGGCCTAACATTAAAGTAAAACCTTTGGGGAAAATTTGTAGACACATTTGATCAGTCTTCCAATTTGATTTTATTATTACCCCAGTTTCTGGGTTATGTAGATACTCCAATATTCTAAAAGAATTCTCTGTTTGGAAACTGAATATTTTTCCATCCTCAGATGAAAGTTTGGGGTGGCATCTACTCAGACATTCAGTGGACTAGCTTTTGAAACGTTTTCGTTTAGAATATTTGGCAGTGAACGGTAGTCCAGAAAGCAGTAATCCCGAGTGAACATCATTGTCAGTATCGTTTAGAATCGAATATTTTGAGAGTTCGAGACCCAAGCACCGGTCACGACCCCGGGTTTAGGAACCCATGGTGTAAGGGAACACCATTGACCTCTTGAAGCACAAATTTATAGTAAATAATATATAGCAATTCAGCTCGTACCTCACAGGAAAGTGTTTGGTTCGAATCTCTGCTGACACGTCTGCTATCCTTGTTGAGGTTTCTCGTATTCTACAATTCCTGCATGCAGATGCCGAGGTAGTCCTCCGAATAGGCCACGACCCCCACTTCCAAATTCTTCCCATTTTATTATTTATGCCAATGGCGTTAAATAGTACCGATACCGTGAGCATCGTTAAATGAGCAACGAAAAAAGAAAGCGGTTAGGAGAGTGGACTGACATGCAGTCGGTAAAGTCTGTTTCACGTGAAATGTCCTGTTAATTACTTTTAATTTGCTTCTGTCGTGCGCTCCGCTGCAAATCTATTTTCTCTTTCTTTTTTTTTCTGCCGAGGATTTAAGAGTTATTAGTTCAAGTTTAAGGGTGTGTCTTGTCGGCATCTCTAACCTCGGCGGGTATCTGTCATCAGAGCCATCTGTCCTCGGCGGAAATGAGACTCTGGTCTTCATTTGTCTTTAACATAACATTCGCTTATGTGGATAAAAAAAAAAGCTAAAGAAAAAATCCTTCGTTTTAAATTTATTGTTGGGATACTTTTTGGTTTCGGTTAATTGATATAGTTGTAATATAAATAGTGGTGTTAAAGAAAAACACAGTGTTGTTAGTGTGACGGACCAGAATGAAAGACCTTAAACTTAAAAACACAGACTTTAATTGACGCAAGTAAAGAGGTTGGTCTAGAAGTAAACACTGAGAAAACTAAGTATATGTTGCTGTCTCGTCACCAAAATGCAGGGCAAAATCATGACATAAAGATAGGAAACAGATGTTTTGAAAATGTGGCACAGTTCAGGTATTTGGGAACAACGACAACAAATCGAAACCTGATTCAGGAGGAAATTAAGAGGAGATTGAACTCGGGTAATGCTTGCTACCATTCAGTCCAGAACCTTTTGTCTTCTCGTCTGCTGTCCAAAAACATAAAAATTAGAATATACAAAACTATAATTTTGCCTGTGGTTCTGTATGGGTGTGAAACTTGGTCTCTGACATTAAGGGAGGAACATAGACTGAGGGTGTTTGAGAACAGGGTGTTGAGGAGAATATTTGGACCGAAGAGAGATGAAGTGACAGGAGGTTGGAGAAAACTGCATAATGAGGAGCTTCATAACTTGTACTCTTCTCCAAGTATAATTAGAATGATGAAGTCAAGGAGGATGAGGTGGGCAGGTCATGTAGCACGAATGGGGGAGACGAGGAATGCGTATAGGATATTGGTGGGAAAGCCAGAAGGAAAGAGACCACTGGGAAGACCAAGGCGTAGGTGGGTGGACAATATTAAAATGGATCTTAGAGAGATAGGACGGGATGGTATGGATTGGATAGATCTGGCTCATGATAGGGACCAGTGGAGGGCTCTTGTGAACATGGTAATGAACCTTCGGGTTCCATAAAATGCTGTGAAATTCTTGAGTAGCTGCAGAATTGGAGGCTCCTCAAGAAGGGCTCAGCTCCATGAGTAAGTAAGTAAGTAAGTAAGTAAGTTTAACCGTGATTTTAATTTTGGCGTTATTTGTGTTGCATTGTGCCGCATGTCGGTACTTAATTTTTTAAAGTACTGTGGTATCTATACATACCACCTGCTTTATACATTTTTTTCCCACAGTGTATTTGTATTTCGTATGATTCTCACAGTAAACAGCGATGAATTAACTTTTATCTATTTTCGGCGTTAAGAATGCGTGGAGTTATACTTCCACTCCTCCACACGGTTACATGGCTTAATGCTTAATTAAACACAGGGGTAATTTTACGTGTAAATTTAAGACGGTGCAGAAAATATGTCTTCAATGATGTAGGAAAGAATTTCCTAACTTAATATGTGAGCTACCAAGTGGATGGAAGCGGTAAGTTCCACCGAAACGATGATAAATTTCTAGTCGACTATGGGTGTCATATCCCAGAAGTTGTCAGTCTGAATTAATATGTTTTGGTAATTTCTCCGGAATTTTCTGTTGATCTGGAGCGTCTACATGGCCACAAAGAGCCATTTCCTCCCCTGCAGTCATTAGTACTACCGTTGCACTAATTTTTGTTACCCCTTCATGTGGGGATAAAAGCACAGATCGTACAGTGCATCCAGATTAGGCAGTACGAGAATTATATCTCGCACTTGGAACAATCGAAATGAACTTAATCTTATCAACAGATGGCAGGAGTGACCACCTTCCTGCAGCTGATGCCTATCGCTATATTTATTTCACCTTTTGTTTTTCTTTGAAACTCGAATGTTGGTGACAATGATTTGTTACAATGGCGGAGGTTGAAAGGCGAGAGTAAATAAGCGCGAGTAACGTTAGGATATTTCTTTGTGATAGTGATGAATATGATGTTGATAAAGGTAATCGTAAATGTGTAAATACTGGTATTGAAACGGAAAGTGATAATGAATTACGTGAAGTGTTCCAAATAATGAAGACATGTGTGGAAACTTCACGTGACCATGCTGACTGGAGATGGTAATGTAGCTTGTTACAAATTTTGTAGTTCAAGTATTAGAATTTGTGGTAGTTTATTTGATTCAGATTCTAGCGCTAGTAACAGATGACATGTACAACAGGCGTAACTGTTTGAAATACGTGTCTTATAATTTTAGGAATGTCTATAAGAGGTTAGGATATGATTTACTTACTCTGTGTTGCAGCCCACAAGGGTTGTGCCACAATCTGAGTTGCACCCACACACAATTGTGACCAGTCAGTCAGGAACATGCGGTATGGTACTTGTAGACAAACGCAGCTGCAGATTGCAAAACATTTTGTCAGTTTCTTAGTGACTGTACAGGAATATTTTATAGCTTGCTGTAGGTATAGAGAGGCTGTAAATCTATTTATGTTCCTGCTGTCACCGTACAGTCTGTTAGGTTTCGGTAGCCAGCAAGATGGGGCTAGCTGTCCCTTATATATGTATTTATTATTTTAGGGGGTCTCTGTGTTAGAAAGCCTGAGAACCCTGGGGTTGGGACATCGGGGCCCGAATTAATTCATAATGTTACGTCATGTATTCTGATATATAGACTTTATAGCGTTGAATGACTTTCGAATGACGAATGGGAAAGGATTTGGAAGGAACTGGTCTAGCCAAATGGAGGTGTTATCTGGATATTTGCTTGGAGGGAATGAGGAAACCCATGAGAGGCTGCCGGTTCCTGGCCGAGATTCGAACCGGGTACCTCCCGAATACAAAACCACCGTCTCAACAACCCGCTTCGTGTCCAGGCGTCGTTAAGTAAACTGTAAAAAGGTAAAGCTATCCCTGTAACAGGCCGTCAAGGCCCATATGGTTGTGAGACGTCGAGGCTCCCACATTTTCCAGACAATCGATTCAGGGATGGCGGTGACGTCAGCCTTACGCGCCGGCCGTCCTTTACCCCCAGGAAGATTCCTGGTAGTCATTTCTGTTAGAGGCTGAGTCGGCCCCAGGGCCATAGTGCGGCTGGAAGCATTGGATCAATTGAGAAAATAAGTGATCTCATCCGGAATCGAACCCGCGACTTTCTGGCTTCCAGCATAGCCCCTCAATCACTTGCCCTACCGCGTACGTCTTCATGGCATAGTGCTTAATTAGTTAAGCACAGGGATAACTTTACAGGGCGTCACATCCAAGAATATGATTCAGCGCTATGAGAAACTCAAGTCTTTGTTTAAAATTGTCACTTCATAGGGGTTAGCGAGGGGTGAAGTATTTTCGCCCAATCAGGGTCGAGGTAATAATGAAGCTATTCATTGGTTCCCCATCGCCTTTCAACCACAGGTGTTGAGTTTCATTTGGGTCCGTTACTACGCGACGGTGTGTCATATTCAAATGGCCGACTGCCTCTATTCTGCTATATATGTTGTTATGTTTTAAGTAACCATGGAAATTTATGATGTCTCAGACGTGACAATGGGAAGTTTGCGAGAAATTAAATTAGTTGACTGGTGTGTGGATGTCGCGCAGTCTCACGGGCCCTATATGGAGCTCCGCGCAGGCGCAGGCGTTCTGTTTCTGCTACACATGGTACAGTCTGTATTTCCATGCCTGGCCACTCTCAACTTAATGCGCAGTGGATTCGATCGAGTCCGCTGACTGAAATAAGTATTACAGGGTGTGTTTAGGTTATAACTTGGCCTTAGTTAATGGTGCGTCACCTTCCCTCCCACCCTCTAGTGCAACTGCGGCCACCGTCCAGCAACGTCTTACCAGCGCAGCCCAGAAGCCAGGCCAAGTTCGTTCTGTTCACACAAGGTTAGCAAGGAGACGCAGAAATATCTGCAGGGTCTGAGACCGGGGTTTGAACCGCGGCGGGCCCTTTATTAGGGAATGAGCCAGAATGGCTCAGTCGGTATGGCAGCAACAGTACGAGCTGGGCGACCGGCAGATTGGGGTTCATTTCCTGGCAGGGACTAGAGGTTCCTCTACTCTGTACTGCACGTGAACCGGACCTGAGACCCACCCAGCCTCGTGTTCAATCGGTACCGGGAGCCAATTTAAATCGAGGTTACGAATGCGTGGAGCTATATCTCCACTTTCCCCATACCAGTTCATGGCGTACTTTCCTACCTCTACCTTTCCCAGGGCGTAAGGTGGTCGTGACGTGAAGGTGTCGCCTCACCTCCCTCTACTTGCTGAAGTTACGAGTGCATGGAGCTGTATCTCCATTTCCGAGCATGTCTTTACCGGGCGGTGGTTAATTGTGTTTATCTCGTAACAATCTTGAACTAATGTTTTCCGTTAGGTACAAGTTTCCGTTTAACACAATATCTCTATAGAGTAAAATAAATCAGAGTAAGTTTTATGCTCAGTGTAAGCAGGATAATATTAAAAAAGACGAGAAAGCGTAAGCAGGAGAATAAAATGGAGAACGACACATCAGATAGACTTGGAGAAATTTTCAAGCCGAGCAAAGTGTCAGAAAGGGGTGTGGGGGGGTTGTATGAGGCACGTTGCTCTGTGTGACATTTACACACACTCGAGGTTACCCGGCAGTTGCTGTGGAGGGGGCTGTAAACTACTTCGTGCTTTGGTTTTATAACTCTGCCCTCATCGGCCCTTTACAAAATAAATTTCGCCTGTAACTAGCCCAGTGTCAGAGGGCACAATATAAATTATGTTCCAGAAAAGTAGGGGACGTATTTAAATGCCCCCCAGCGGTGGGGGTCTCATTTGCTTTGCTGAACCAATAAATTGGTAATGGTTTGTGAGCTGCGTGGAACCCGATATCAGAAAGGACAGCTCTCCCTTGCTCCAAGTTGCTGTTATGACCCTGTCAGGGACCAGACTGTATAGGGTCACCGATGAAGTGTGAACTGGAAGAGATCTGGAAGGAGGCGATCATGGTCAGATCGAGGTACCATCTTGACATTGCTCGTAAGGACTGGTGGGGCACTATGCTACAAGCCGGAAGGTCGCGGGTTCGAGTCCCGATGAAATGGATTTTTTTTTTCCAATTTACCTAATCCTTCCCGCCGCACTATGACCCTGGGGTCGACTCAGCCTCTAACAGAAATGAGTACCGGGAATCTTCATGAGGGGTAAAGGGCGGCCGGCGTGTAAGGTTGACAACCTCACCGCCATATGTGAGCCGATTGCCTAGAGAAAATGTGGAAGCCTCGACGTCTCACAACCCTATGGGCCTTCATGGCCTATTAAAGGGTTGCTCTACCTTTACCCAACAGGTCGCGAATGCAAGTCTTGAGCGTTACCACTAAGCTATCCTGTTCGGTAAGGTAAAAGAAATGTTATCCAGGTACTTAATAATTAAATTAATGATTAATTTGAATTAATATAATCATTTAAGAGTGAACTGGATCCGGAATAGCGACGGGCTATGGGTTGGACGGCCCGGGTTCAATTACCGGAAATGCAACATTCTTCTGTTCTCCACAGCGTCGTAGGCCGACTGATGGTCCCGCCCAGATCCTATCTAAAGGGTACTGGGGTCAATTTTGCGGGGTATAAGCCTGCCGGGGCTTGTAGCTGATCACTCATCTTCATGTAGTGCTGAGGTCAAGAAAGGCGGAGCTGTACCTCCACTCTCCCACACGTCTTCATGGCGTAGTGCTTAATTAGTTAAGTATAGGGAAGATTTTGCCTTGTTTAAGGGTTAAAATACTGTTTCTTGCAGTCATTAGCGTTGGGGAGACGTTGGTTTCCATTCCTGTAACTGCTTGCACACCGCTGTTGTGTGGAGCTCAAGACAAGTTTACTTTCTTCACAATTGAATTAAACAGACGTGACAAGGCTGCAGACCGCGGGAGTGGTGACGTCAGTAAGATGCCATAATAAAATATTCACATCTCTGAGGGGTGTCCATTCCCGAGAGATTTCGGCGTCTAACAATACGACATAAGGCGACCCGTCATGTATGTTATTTGTAACCCCGAAAGTGCCAGGTGTCGATAATTACGACCTTTACCAAATTTTTACGTCTGACATCATGTGACATCTGTTGGCATTTTATTTGTACTACGTGGCCAAGAAACATCTGGAAAGCTTCTCCTGGAGAGTTTGCCTATATGATATTATAAATAATCGCTTTGATAACCTAAAATAGCGCACGGCTTTGTAATAATTGATACTAGATCTTCTAGGGTTAAGAGTTGCAGTGAGGGTGAGGCCGTGCCATAGCTCAAGCGGCTAGTCGCTGGCTTCCCACCGCGGCGGCCCGGGTTCGATCCCGGGTCTGGTTAAGTAGAATTTGTGGTGGACAAAGTGGCGCTGGGGCAGGTTTTCTCCGACTACTTCGGTTTCCCCTGCCAATCTTCGTCCCACCAATTGCTCCACATTCACCCTCACCTATCATCTGGGGCTGGTACAATAAGCCAGAAGTGGCCGCAGTGCAAGTCCCACCCCACTAGCAATAAAAAAATGCAGTGAGGCTGTGGAAGTTGAGGTTGTCATAGAGGTGACTATGATGAGCTGGCTATGGGATGTGACTCCGTGTAGCCTGGTAGAAGTTCATGGATGCTTCGGAGGATCGAATTGCTCCCAGTAACTGCTTGCTACCTATATTATAGTGGCTGCTTCCGTAGCTGCTTCTTTGACCATGAAGATGGAAGCAGTTCGTACCTCCGAAACATCTCTGACCTACGGGACTACATGGCGTCATTTCCAAGTTGATAACACTGTAATACGATAGCGAGGTTTGTTTTACGTTTCCATGACAACTCGTGGCTTTCCTGCTAAAATATCACAAGCAATTTTACTTTCTCCTGCAGTGTGTATCGGTAATCCTCGTTTTATCAAGCTTCGAAGCTTCGTTCTGTTTCACGCTTTTTCGAATTACCTGGTTAAATAAAACGCTACTTCTTTTAAACATAAACATATCACAAACAAAAAAAGGTAAAGCTATCCCTGTAACAGGCCGTGAAGGCCCATAGAGCTGAGACGTCGAGGCTCCCACATTTTTAGACAATCGGCTCACAGATGGCGGTGAGGTTGTCAGCCTTACACACCGGCTGCATTCTCCAGGAAGATT